AAGATAGTGAAACAATTCCTAAATATTCTGAATTCATCTTGGAAAAAGATTGTATTACTCTCCGCTATATAAAGACTTGCATTGTCTTATATTTTGTAACTGTCAGACCAATTGCTGGAGATATCTGAAACAGCCACCACTGAATTTATGGTAGTAATTCTGTTCCCTTAGATCATAGTTTTGCATTAGTGACCTGTTGTCCTGTTTTGGTTTCACGAGGTGAATTTTTAGCCTAGACAAAGAAGTCTGCGGGTATCTCTCCACATTATATTTTATTATATTATAATAGGGTGTGATTGTTGCAGAAATTTTTTGGGCCTTTGGAACTGCATGTTAATTTTTTTTTAAATGACCTAGCAGTTAATTTTCCAGTCTTCAGATTTCAGATCTTCTTGTCACCAGTCTACCAACAGGAAAGCATTGAATGCATTGGGGCTTTTTCACTTTATTTCTTTTAAAGTATAAAATATGCATGGGTATCTTGTTACTACTTAATAACTTGTTCTGGATTGTTTTGCTGCTTCTGATGGCCATATGGAACATGGGAGTTAGCATTATGTCACAGGAAAGTCTGTGTGCTGGGGTACTAGCAGGAATACTGACTTGCACTACTAACTTGCTGACAGAGCTTTCGCTTTTCCTGGCTTGGCACAATAAAATAATAATCACTTGAAATAAGAAGTCTGGTGAAATTGCCAAGAAGTTTCTTGGTGTTTGAAACACAAATATTGCTGTAGTAAAAACTTGAATGAAGTGACTAAGAGGAGAGAAGTAAAACTTGAAACTTTTTACTTTCCTGATGACAAGAAGGGTAATAAACTAGAAACAAGTACAGATGATGCAGGATCTTCATACTTTCTGAAATACCAAGTATTAGTAATACCTTGTGTTTCTATACTTGTATGCATGCGTTTTTGTATAAATTGAATGTCCTTTTTAGTTGTAAAGTAGAGGTCTTTCTGGATGCTTCCTTTTCTTCGTTTATCTTGGAACAAGAACCAGAATATTTTAGAAATAAATTCTAAGTCAGTTGTTATGAATTCTTTACCTCTGTAGGATATCCAATTTAAATAGATAATATCTAATTTTAAATACCCAGTTTCTGTTCCCATCATCTGTATGGATCACAAAAGTGATGCATTTTAGTATTGAGTGTCAGCTTATGCATAGAAAAATATTCATATGTCCTTTTGAGAATATGGTCCTGACTAGATGTAAAAATTGAATGTTGTGCAGTGTTTTACAGTAAATTCTTCAGGAAGATAATATTGTGGTGCAATAGGCTAGTGACAGAAACTTGTAAATGACCAGTCAGATACAGTAGACTTACATAAAGATGACCTCTGTGGTTCTCTACTCTCCTCAGCGTTATTCACAAACTGAAGGTGTGTGTTATCTATCTGTAGAGTTTTAACATGAGCCAGTACTAAAAAGCACAGGACAGTACCTGCTGTGGTACTTAAAGACTAAATTCTGAGAAATGTGAGGAAACAACTAGGAACCTGAGCACATGTCAAGTGGTGTTTATAAGCAGAGCTTTATTTGATGTGTAGGACCATAGCAATCTACACTAGTTGCAGCCTGTTGGCAGGTTCACCCAGTCCTTTTTTAAATATGAAAATCTGGTTAACTTCTCTCTGTTATTCATGTGACTGTATTCTGCTGCTTTCCTTTACAGATCCGAGAGCAAAATTTGCAAGATATTAAAACTGCGGGCCCTCAATCACAGGTTCTTTCTGGGGTAGTTGTGGACAGGAGTCTTGTACAGGTAAGAGTATAAAATGCCTAAAACTATTAGCTTAAATTTAATCTACCATATCCTCTGCTTTCACCTAATATATCACTATAAAATTATTCTTTAATTGGCAGAGAGTAACTGTTTATAAGGTAAGTCTTAGAGGTAACACCGTTGTCTTTGCGAGAGTGCTCAGGATCAGAAATTTAAGAGGCTTCAGCCATGTAACCCAAGCATGTCTGTGGAGGATGCTTCTTGTGGGTTTTTTTTTTTTTTTTTTTGCTGAATGTAATGCATGAAATTCAGAAGGCTTTTTTGTACGAGTTAGATTCTTCTTCAAAACTAGTTGGGCTTTGTGACAGCTTTTTGTTTGTTTGTTTTCCAGGTTTATGTATCTTGAAGTATTAATACTGGGCACAGCAGGCTCACTATGGGGCAGTAGTGTTGTGTGTTAAATATGTTTTATCATGCTGCATTATATTTTATTTGAAGAGTAGTTTGGAAAAAAAAAGCTATTAAACGTCAATAAAAGTTAAAAGCAGTATATCTGGGTATACAAAAGACTTTGTCTATGAATCATAGCTCAAAGCAAAGTAAGAATTAGAGCTATACAGTTATACTATATAGCTGAATGACAATAAAGCTCTATATATCTGAGTGCTTTAACTGACCCAGATATGTATTTTCTGATATAACTTTAAAAAGTTTGGCAAGTCTTATCATGACCATGGCATTATTCATGTTGGGTGTCATATTGTGTGCATGTCAACTCATTGTCATTTGCAATTTTATCTACCAGTTACTGTTTCTTTGCATGTTTTTAGCAACCATCATAATGCTTTTGGTTGATGTTTTAAAGCCTGGGCTCGGTTTGCTCTGTTTACTCAATTTACTGTTGCAGGATGCTCCCCTCTCAGACTGTACGGAATCTATTGAAGGGCTCGATCTCACAGAGCAGGCCTTTAGTCCCGCTAAATCTCTGTCTGTTAGAAAGGTACTGCCCTGTCATACTGCTGTAAATACTGTTGTTCACCCTTCGTTTTACCTCTTCCTTACCCTGACCTTTTCCTTCTGTTAGCTAATGATTTGGTTAGAAAAGTAAAAAAAGGGGGGGGGGACAAAAAAAAAGGATGGATCTCTAAATTATGTATATGCAACTATACAAGTAGTTACTTTACTCTGATAAAGTATCTTTTAAGGATTTTGATCGTTTTCATTGTCTGTAGAGGCTGGTGAGGAAACACTTGATGTTAAGGTGCTGATTAGATTCTGCATATAGTGCGTTTCTTTGCGCATGCTGTTAGTGTTGAATTACTCTAATTTGAGATCCATTTTGAGTTAGCTTAAACTCAGCTTGATTACATCAGTGTAATTCCAAAGATATCCACGTGTTCAGAGTGTGTCATACTGACAAACACGGTCAACTTTTGATCCTACATCGCTAGACATCTTGTTTCCTTAAAAATTCCTGTGGTTATCTACAAGAGTTGCTGAGTAATGCCCCACACTTCAAAAATCAATTGGCTTTCAAACATGTAATCATGCTTCTACTTATGTAATATACTTTAAATAAAGAATAAATTCAAGAGATGTGTGTGTGGTTGGGGTGGGCCGTCCTTTGAGGCTGAGTAAACAGGAACAGTTTGCACATTGGAAACAATCTGTCCTTAGCTGTCTTTCTCGCCCAGGTTTTGAAGGAGTTTCTTAGAGGTGGTCTAGCATGGAAGCACAGTGTGTAAATAAGCATCAGTGTCTCTTCTGCTCCAGTATTTTACCTAAAAGATGCTTAAATGGGTTTAGGTCATGCCTAACATGTCATTATCAGAATAGCTTTCCCATCAAAAACCCGAACACTTTGAATTACATCATTGTTGTGAATCTCATGACTTTATAACACTTTCTAGTGTAATGAGCCAGTTTGTATTGTAGATAGTTGTATCATAGTGAGAATTTGATAATGATGTTTTTCAGATTACAGTTTGGTTTATCCATATGCTGAAAGGAAAATTAATAAAATACTATTTACAGATTTAAGATTAAAAATAAAACAAAGCCAAATTCTTCCAGATAGTGCATGCCTTTTATTTTCTGCGTAATAATACCTTCGAAGTGGAAAATTATTTTTATGGTAGTCATTCATTGGTTATCACAACACAAGCAGTTTCTTTCACCAATGATGTGTAAGATACCTTTCAAGTACTACTTTTGAATAATGGCATCATCTTGCTATAAAACTAGTCAAATATTTTACATGGATTTTTGTAGACGGCAAGGAGCTAACAAAAGATCTATTGGTTATATGATTTTGCCCAGTATAATGTTAGGGTTTAGATGGCCAAATAATGTGTTTCCTTTTTGTGGTGGTGTGAAAGTGCTTTCCTGTTGAAATTAGAATTAATTTTGTGTAAAATTAGATCACAATGTTAATTACAGTAGGAGTCGCCTATTTCATAATCTTTATTATCTTAATATGGATTGTGACCTGAATGCTTAATAATTTCCTGTTGGGGGAACAAAACCCACAACCCTCCCAGTGAACCAAACAACAAAAAAACCCACCAGAGAAATTTCCTAGAAACTGTTTGCCAAAAATCAGTTGTGTATTATGGACTAAAGGAAGTGTAAGCAGTCTTATGATGCCCACATAGACTTCATGTGAAACTTGGAGGAGACCTGTACATCAAGGACTTAAGGACTTTTAGGTACCAGATAATTACTAGTTCTCAGTTGACAAATTCTTTGACACTCTATTATGGTGAAAGTAAAAAGTTCCATCTGATTGCAGTAATGCTTAAAATGTATTATGTTTTCAGTTAACACTGAGAGTTATATCAACACTAATGAACACTATTTTGGATGAAAAACATCCTGTTTGTGTATGGTATGCATGTAATGCTTGGAGTCTTCCGTGCCTGTGGCTGCAGTAGTAAATACTCCATTTTGCCTTGTCATTTGCTTTGTCCATGTTCTGAGAAGCCCTGGCCATGTTGCAACACAAGCTCCTTGTGCATGATGTAATTTTAGTCGTGTTACAGACTTGACTAACTAAGCTTCTGCTGCAGTCTTGGCTGAATGAGATGGAATGTTGGTTACAAAGACCATTCTGCAATCTGATCTGAAAAAAAAGTAAATTCACCTGAATTTCCAAGAATATTAAGTACAAGGGAAATGACCCATTTCCTGTCTCTTCCTTTAGAATGGAAATTTTGGGGCTTTGTTTTTCATGAAGAGCCTCTCAGTTCTGCCCCAGAAGTGGCACTGTGTTTTAATGGCGACTTCTACATGAACAGTACTTTTAAGAATCTTGGGGTTTTTTTGGATGAAGGCACTGCTTTAATGACAGATTGTGTTAAGAGCAATTGTTAACTCTAGACTATTATTATGAACCTACTGTCTGATTAAGAGAAAAATTGGCATGTATAAGGTGCAGTTTTGCTCATATCTATCCCTGTGAACAAGATGAAGTGCTTGCCTGTTAAGTGACAGTCACCTCCTAGCAATTTTGATTTTTCTCTGAAAGCAAGATTTGGTGGAGAAGTTGCAAAATGATTTGATAATCTAAAGTTTCCTTGTAGGATATGTGAGATACAGGTTTAATACAAAGGTATATTGGACAACATTAGCTATAAACGACTTTCCCTTTGTTGGATCTTTGCAGGGAGAGTATGCCCCTACAAAATTCTCAGGAGTGAAAATATATTCTGTTCATGAATGTAATCTGTCCATTATTTCTTACAGTGGAGAAAATGCTGTTGATATTCAGGTGCTTACACATGCAATCAAACTTCAAGTAGTCATCAAAATTAGTAGTAGAATCATCATCAAAATAATACCAGTATCAGCATAATCCAGATTAAGTCACTATGACGTTAGTTTTTTGCATGTCATCCTGTGTTGAAACAGAGTGACAGTCTTTTACATGGGAATTTATTCCCTCTCTACAGGCTCTCTAATATTGGAAGCAACTCCAGTCCAATTTTCTTGTTCTGTTTTCCTGAACATTTATAGGAATCTCTGAATGGTATGGGCAGGTTGATAGCTCTGCAAAGTCTTGTCTATTTTAGTGTCACATTTAACAATCTAAAATGTGACCTGTACTGGTTTTTTTTTTTAGTCTTTTATACTCATTTTCCTTCTGTCCCGTGTTACTCTCTTCATTTTGAGTGTCTGTTTTTATTTGAATTCTTGAAAGACTGCTCTGTGGCCTATTCTGTGAAGTAATGCATCTCTACTTCTTTGGTTTATACATGTTTTAGAGTAATCATGTTGCAGAACTTACTAATAAACTACTGTGATTTTCCCCATGGAATCAGTACCTCTACCCTTACAATTTTCATAAGTGGCCTTTGAACTGCTTCCATATTTTTCATACAGAGCAAAGCTGGATGTGTTAATCTGGAAACAACTTTTAGCAGATCAGAAGTTTGCCTTTCTGGTGTCTCATTAATTTTTCTGCTTTTATGGTCCAAAAAACATAAGTGTTTTTACTTTGTAATACATAATCAGCTTACTGTCACTGCCTCTGTTCTGTTTCAGTATTACTTCTCTTGTGTCAAAGATACTCAGCTAGTAGAAAAACTGTTTTGATTGTGGGTGTGGTTTATGTGTGTGTTTGGTTTTGGTCTGTTGTTTGTTGTTTTTTAAATTTAGTAAATGTGGTAAGCTTGATGCGCTGCTTTTATTCCCAGTAGTTAACAAAGGTACTCTCTTGAGGAGAACGCATAAGGCCAGTGCCCTAGTCGTCTTGCTGCAAACTGCATGTCTTGCTGTTTCTCATTATTAATTCAGTAGGCATTCAGTAAAACTGTTTCATGTGAAAGTTGTTCTACCTAGTCATTTTGGATTTAACTTGCAGACAAGATTCGAAGATTCTTAAACATTCCAGCGATACCAGTGCGCACTGTGTATGTCTTGTTCCTCTGTTGCCTTTTGTAATCCTAGAAAACTCTAGAAACACTGCCTGAGATCAGTGCTTTGCAAGACCTTGCTACTTCTTGCTGAGTTTCAGTTAAAACTACTTACTTTGTTTGAAGGGTGGGCAGAGATAGAGGGGGAAATGGAAAACTGCTATGGGCACCAATTTTCTGCCATCATTAAGAGCTGGGACCAGTAGCTTTGGGGGTGTTTTACGTTTTCTAAAAAACAATTAGGATTTGTACAAAGCTTGATGTTTTTGTGACTTTTTAATGCATTATCCTGTAGGAAAATCCGTGACTGTCAAGGCAGAGGTTTTATGGTATTGAGACAACCGGTGCTTCATGGCAGTAGTTGAGAAAAGGATTCTGACATTCTACTGACATTCTGCCTCTGAAATGAGAGTTCATCTTATTTTATGGCAAAATGGAGACCATCTGTAATGTTTTAGAGCTGTTGCTCTCCAGCAGTTTCTTTCAGGATCTTAGTGGAGACTTGTTACGCTGTTTGTTCCTCAGTATTTCTGGATGGCGTTTTCTTCCTGAAGAGCAGCATAGATTCTAACAACCAGCTGTTCTTACCTCCCTGGACTGCTCTAGACCAGATTTCTGGAGATCTCTCATGAGGCTTTCAGAAATATCTAACTGCTCTTGCCCTCATTCCATCTGGACATTCTTGTCTGACACCTTTCTGGTGTTGACAGCATGTCCAAAGCAGCTCTTAGCATCCAAAACAGTACTCGGTCTAATTTCATTTCCAGTTTTACAGTGAAGATCTTGTGCTTGTCCGTTAAGTATGGACATAGAATGGAACGTTTGTGTCTCTGTTCAGGTGGTATTTATTTTTGAATTGTGCTTTCTAATGCTTTCTTCTAAATATAGGTACCAGTAACATTTGAATATGAAGATGACTTGGGCCAGTCAATAACCCACACAGATTTGGTGATGGGATTTGGATACCTCTTTTCAACAGCGAAGACAATTCAGATATAACAATGCCACAAGGCACAGACCACACATCAGTCTTTTCCAAACTAGTGTTCGTAGAGTTCTATATATCCAATGAAAAAACTAATGCTTAAGTCACTGGAAAGATACAGCAGCTGTCCAGGCAAGCATCTTCTGTATCTGAGACAATGAAAAGCCAATGGCTACTGAAGTCATTAGCTTTACTATATGATTAGAGAAGAAAAGCTAAAAACCTTAGCATTAAAGAATCTCTGATGCAGCTGCTTTTGTCCATTGGAACTTACTGTTCTAGCATTGCTAATGTTTTATTTTTATTTGTGTAACTTTTTATCTGGCTTGTATGACAAATGTTATAAATGTGAATATGCTAACTTGTATAAGATTACAGTTAACTTTACTTTAAAATTGCTTGTAATAAACTGTTGATCTGGTGTATACAGAACACATACAAGATGGCTTTTTACTATAACATCTGTTAGATGTTATGCGGTAGCTACTAGAAATGGCTTTTCCCTTAGTACAAAAAACAAACCAACCCACAAAACAACAAAAAAACCCCAAAACAAACCACAAATAAAAATACTTATGAGCTGAGTCCCGTGAACTTCTACAGGTATTCTGTGCCCAGACTGCCATGCAGTTGGGGCTGGTATCCTGTTTCTTTTGTGGGGAGAAAAAGAAAACTGATAATTCTGTGACTTCAGATAGAATTCAGTTAGACTGTTTGGGTGCTGTTTGATTTACTGCTTAATGGTGGATATTCCCTGGTGGAAACACTGATGTGTCTGTAAGAGTAATTAATGAGACCTGTTTTCTCCTTTATATTAACCTGTTGATAAAATAAAAAAATCTGTAATAGGGTTTTTTTTTAAATCTAAAAAAAATAAATGTAGCATTTTTCAGAATATTTTCTTGTTTTGTTTTTGATTGCTTTGTAGTCTCTGTACTTCTCAGGGTCCTGCAAGTTACTGCCCGATTGCAGATGTATCTTAATTTTCTTTTGTCAGGGAGAACTGGTGACTGCATCAAAGGCAATAATTGAGAAAGAATATCAGCCAAAAGTCATAGTGAGCACAACAGGACCAAACCCCTTCAATAAACTCACTGATCGAGAACTAGAAGAATATCGCAAAGAAGTAGAAAGAAAGCAGAAGGGACCAGAAGGTTGGTTTCTCTGTGTGTGTTTTTTCTGCAATAGACTATAATAACAGCGAGTTTACTATTTGGAAGGTGGGTTACCTGCAAAGGCCATGGATAAATTATGCAGTTTTTGTGTGTTTCAGTTTTTCCAATGTGAATTAGAAATTTAAAAAGCATACTGGAGGTAGAATATGTGATCTAAATGTTAATGGAGTATTCTGTAAAAGGCATAGATCTTATTTTAAAACTTACCCTAGCAGACAAACTGGGGTGTTTATTATGGCCAGTTACTGCTGCTATTGTGAAGTTGAAAGCTTGAAACTTAAGTCAAAAAAACTCTTTAGGTACTGCAAGGTGTTGCAGAATGTTCCACTTTGTTTCCCTTTGCGCTAGAGATAGAGAACAGCATCATTCTCTCACCCTAGACTAACTTGTTGAAAACTGTGGATTTGGGAAATCTGTTGAATGGTGAAGATATAGAATAACATTTGATTGCTGCTTCAAAATGGCACGTCTTGGGGACTTCCCCTAAAATGGACTTTCTAAATTTTCACAGAATTATGAGAGAATTGTGCTGTAAAAAAGAGATCATTGCTGCATCTGAAGTGGTTATCCTGCTTTACTTCTCTATAGTTTTAAGGGATGATACTTAGGATGCGCATTTGTTGTTAAGTTTTGAATTCGGATGATGCAGGAACCAGAAGTGCCATTTATTTTGCAGTGTGCGCTCCCTGCTTCTGCTTTTTGATAAGGCAACACAGGAGCCAGTGTAGACTGTTACGTGTTCGGTTAATCAAGTATTGGGCTGTGTGGGGTGGGATGCTCTGCTGTTATGCTTGTATAACTGCGTACGTTTATTGTCTCAGTAACATTGCTACATCCTTCTTAGATAAGCTATCAAAGTATGGAGAGACTGTGTTACTGAGACAGACACCAGCTGGGGAACAGAGTACGTTGCTTAGAAATCAGACCATCAGTGAGCAAAATACATCAGATAAAAAATCTCTGGATTTGAAAGGCAGATCCAAAACCTTTCAAGGAACAGATAAGAAGACTTTGCAGGATCGTGACATATCATCACTGTCTAAATCTTTAGATAACACTCAGTTTGCTGCTGCATGGGTTTCTTGTCAGACCACGCAGCAAGTCATCACACATCTTAACCGAGAAGAGCCAGATGGACAGAAGTCCTCCCATAAGGAATTTCATACTGCAGTGATCAAAGCATTAAGGTCCAATCCTGACCTTTTGGCTGAGGCCTCAGGTATTACTAACATGGTACATTTGGGCTTGCAATCTAAGGAACAACCTCTTTACCTACACCGTTGGGAGATTCTGTCAGTTGACTCTCATCTGTGGGACGGATTGCACTTGTAATTGTCCAGGTGAACTGTATGGAACAATGCTTTAATATTGTTCTCTGTATACGGTGTACTCCTTATTAATGTTTTCCTTTGGATATAGGGCTGTTTAAACCTGGAAGCGAGGGGGACCCTCCTTACTAATAACAAATTCGCAAACCACTGTGAAATCTGTTTTGAATCATTTACTTACTGCATGTTTCTCTGATTACTTGTGCAGTCGTCTTTTCTTTTGGGATGCAATTTTGTTTACTCCAAGTTTCAGCAATACAAAGCAAGCAAAAGAGAGTTACCTTGTGTAGGTCTGATAGCATTTCCTTCCCCCTCTCACCCGCCCATATTTGTTTATACCTTCCTTTGTGGTTTTTCCTCACAGTTTTCTTTAGAACAGCATGATGAAGAATGTAGTTGTTTATGAATTGCTTTATGTCCTCTTACGGGGCACGGGGGGATGACCCACACACCACAGAGCTCAACTGTGACTTCAACAGTGTTTTTAATATCAAACTATCGCTTAATTCTCTTTTGCTTGTTTTGGTATTATTTAATATCCTGGCAGAATTTTGACTCAGAAAAATGTATTTGTATCCTGTCTGTATGGAGCAAAAGGACACTTTGGTTTTCTCACATGCTGAAAGGGTTTGTCTGCCTTTTTAATGTCTCTTTGTCTACATCTGCAGAACCTTCAGAAGACGGCAGACAGCAGAAAGAGCGAAGTCCCCCTGATCATGCTGCAGCTCGCACTCCTCCCAGTACGCCAATTAAAATAGAGGAAGGTATGTTCTTCTGATTTGGGGGCCAGGGGAAACCAATAACTGCATCATTAGTGACTGACGCATGAAAATATATGAACTAGTATCTAATAAAGGTAAATTATTTCTTGTATTTTATTTTTATACTACCTAAAATATATGAAACTGAACTATAATAGGAGTTATGTTTACAATAATAAAGAAGTGTGCATTAATATAAAGACAAAATTTCATCTCTTTATAATTGCCTTATCATCTCTTGGTGTTTCTCAACTGATTTACCCTTTTGTACGTTTTCTGAATTGCTCTTATGAAATGAAATAGTGTCTGATGCTGAACCAGACACAAATTTAGATGCTTTGGTATATCTTCTTCACTGATTGCACATTTCTTAAGCATTATTGTACTTGGATTACACCTCAGTAAATATTTTTTCCAACTCAATTTGAATCTAAATATCATTATTTGCTCACCTTAGGTGGTAGTCATAACTAAAATGAGAGCAGGGCTGGTAAAGTCTACAGTTTCCTCAAAAAAGGATAAAATAACAATCTTGAACAGGTGTAATCTAATTTTTGTCTTGTTTCCTTTACCTTGTACATTGGATATATCACTTGTCTGTTAGTCTTCCATTCACTACTTCATCTCATTCTGTTTTCTACAAGAATGGTTGCACCATTCTTCTAACTTAACACAATGGCTGTGATGAATGCATAGATTCTCTACTTGTGCTTTTTTCTTCTTGTGGCTGCGTTACAAACAGGAGATGGATATGCTAAAGAGTACCTGTTACCATAGTAAGTATCATTCCATACTCTGACCTGCTTATGTGCTTTGCTTCACTCTTGCATCTTTGTTTTCTAAGGTTTTTTTGTTGGATTTGCTTTTTTTTAAAGCAGGCTTTTTCAGTTGAGATGCTGATTTCTTTAGTTCTTGATTTCGTTAAAATCTAGGTAGTTACAGATCTTACGTTAAAATGCACTCCCCCTTTAAAAGAGACTGTGACGGTGACATCATGTGTTTCCATATCTATGTGTCCGATTCCTCAGTTTCATAAGGAATAGTCTGAAGTTGTCTTTCAGATATAGCTGAAACAGATCTGGGAGTTTCTGCCACACCAGTTTGCTGCTGCCTACACAGCTTGGACCTGGTAATTAAATGGAAGAAAGTTCCTAATCTGTTCCAGTGCAAAAGTGTTACCACTGCCACTGATTTAAACCTACCAGGCTTCTGCACAGAAGTGGATGTGGAACTACTCCTCTGTTGTATATGTCAGCTGTAGGGGAATTCA